GCATCAGATCAAGAAATGCAAAATAATGCCGATCCTATAATGGATATAATTGCGACAGCTCCTAGTGATTCATTGTATTTTATTGAACGAATAAATCTCATATCAGCAATAATAAGTATGAGTACATCATTTCCATATTTAACATATTTAATTATATATTGGAATGATTGTTCATGTAATGATATTTTAAGATGGTGGATTGTTATTAACAGTATTTTACAATTAATACAAGCTCCTGTAAGATTTTTCTTATATTTTTTGTTGAGAAAATATAAAAGGGAAAATGAAAGAATGCATATTCACGCGTAAGAAATAAAATTTATGACAAGAGAAAAAAAAAAAAAAAAAAATAGCATATGTTATTTGTTAAGATAAATTCTTTATATATATATAAATTTATATTTATATTTTATGTTTTAAATTATAAATATGTTTATATGAAAAATATTTAAAAATTAATTTGTTAAAATATAGTTAAAATTGATAATTCATCTATTCACATATTAAAATAATAGATGATTATACAATGATTTATATTTATAAATATGAAAGTTAAAATATTGATGTAACCATTTTATAAGTTTCATGAATAAATATAGTTATATAAATGTAAATATTTAAATACAATTGTATAAAATATTGATATATAAACACATATTTGTTATTAACTATTAGTTGTAATTAAACTGTCAAATGCATAAAAATATAAATAGAAATATATCTTTATATATTTTTATAATTATTATTTAAATATATTTTCCTTATATATATATATATATATATATGTGTGTATATAATTATTTTCAAAATCATTTTTATTTATATATTCATTTATATACCAAAAAAAAATTTTTTTTTTTTTTTTTTTTTTTATTATACATATATAGTCTAAGAAGATTAACTAGTTCAAAGGGATGGAAATTAAGTAAAAGATTTAGTTTATTAAATTATTTGTGGTTTATAACAGGAACAGTCGTAATGGTTGTTACACGAAAATATACAAAAAATTTTTATCTTTGGTTTATATCATGGACTATTATTTTGTCATGCATATTTAGAGTATTTTTCACGATTATTTGGTTTTGTTTTTTCTTTCCATATAACCAGAATGTACCAAAAAAAAAAAAAGGAGTACCGAAACAATTTTTTTCTGAAGTACATTCTTTTAAATATTCCCCAGATATGAATTTAAAAAATGAATCTTGTTCTATTTGTTTGTCGGAATTTGTTGAAAAAGAGGATATTATTCAACTGAATTGTTTACATGATTTCCATACTAAATGTGCAAAAAAATGGTTATCACAAAGAAGACAATGCCCTTTGTGCCAAAGAGACGTTATGAAGGGAAATTGATTGAAAATGAAGAAAATGTTTTATTAATATTATGAATTTATATATGTTTAGGTGTAGATATATAGATATATTTATAAAATGATTTATATTTATTTTTTTTTATATTTTAACTTTTTTTTTTTTTTTTTTTTTTTTGATCTGTACATATTTATTTTTTATTTTTAATTATTTTTTTAAAATTCGCATAAATATCTCTTATATTTGAAAGGGATTTTTCTTAACTAGTTTTTTTAAATATGTATTTATTAACAATAATATTTTAAAATATTTTTTTTTCTTTAATAATAAATGTATTCTTATAAATTCCATTTTGTGCTTATGAGAATATTTAGAGTATTCTATAATAATAATTTACATCTTTTTCATTTTTTTGCTTTTTAATATATATATATTTATATATATATATATATACATTTATTTTATAAAAAATATTTTTGTAAATTTAAGTGTTTATAAATTACTTTTTTCTTTTTCTTTTTTTTTTTTTTCAATGATATTAATAAAATAAAATGTTAATATATACGCTTATAATAAAAATATTCCTTCTGTTAAAATTATTTTTATGATAAGCGTTTTAAGAATAAATTTTTAAAAATGCAAATTTATTTTTTACTTTATATAAATAAAAATATTTACTTTATTTCTCTATTCCCTTAATTTAAATAAATTTTGAAATTTTATATTAATTGAATTCTCTTATTATTTTTTTTTACTTACTAAATATAAGTATCAAAATTATAATAAAAATTATTAGAATAAAAAATATTTCAAAAAAAAATGTTCTTATATTTTTTTTCATTAACAAATATAAGAAAAATTTATAGAAATAGACAATCAAAAAAAAAAAAAAAAAAAAAAAAGACGCAAAATAGAGAATAGTTGATGAAATATACTTTTTAGTTGTAAGATAGATTAAAAACAATTTTTTTAAAATGTTTCAAAATTAAAAAAAAAAAAAAAAGCATTATAATAATTTTAAAAAAATTTGTAATCAAGAAAGTAATTATATTATGTAATAAAAAAAAAAAGGAAAAATGACGAATATACAAATTAATATAAATTCTTTAAAAAAATTCATATAGCTTTTATAAAAAAAATTTGTAATTAAAAACATTCCTTTCTGTTGTAAAAAAAAAAAAAAAAAAAAAATTAAATAAAATTTCCTTTTGTTTAAAAAAGGAATATTTAAAATAGAAAAATTTACATACATATATATTTCTGTTAAAATATATATATAATATATATTTTTTTTTTTAACTATACACCTATGGGTATAACTACATTTTTCCATTAAGATTTTTTAATATTATAAACAATTTTAATATATTTAATTTTTTTATGTTTTTAAAAATCTTCTCTATTCGATTCTTCAATCGGTTTAATTATGTTTAAAGGATCACATTTATATTGATCAATTTCTTCATTAAATTTAAATTTTGAAAGATTACTTAACAAACTATCTTTCTGTAGTGTTTTTGATGAAGATAACATTGAAGTGGAATTTTCTTGTACTTTCGTTAGGTCATTGGTTAAATCGATAGTTTTATTATTTGTAGTATTTATAGAAGCATCAATTTCATCACTTTTTAAACTTTTTAATACATTCATGTATTTATTATATAAATCTTTTTTAATTTTTGATTTGTTTATGAACGTCTCACTTTTAATATCATTACTGTTTCCTATTTCCTCTTTTTTATAATTTTCAACTTGAATAATTCCGTTAACCTTTTTATGATATAAGGAATTTTCATAATTATTATTATTTTCTTTTATGAATATGTTTTTATGGTTATTTCTGTTATAATTTTTATTCTCTAATAATTTTTTTTCTTTATTCAAAGTATGAGAATCATTAGAACTATATAAAATGCTATTATAATCTATTTTACTCTTAAAATTTAAATTATTTAATTGATTATTGAAATTTTTTCTATTATTATTATTATAATGATCAACACTAACATTATGACCTAAATCAGAACTTAGGGAATCTAATAAGATACTACTAGTATTACTATTAGCTTCATAGCTTGTTTGTGAAATAAAATTATACGATTTTTTATTTTTCTCATTATTATATGTATCATTATTGTATTTATTATATTGCTTAATATCATTTACATTGAGAACATTCTTTTTATTATTTTTTGATAAATTCAATTCAGAGTTAAAATTAGAGGTATTTATATTTTTTTTATTTTTAATTTCTTTTAATTTATTATATTCATTTGAATTTTCAAAATCGTCAGATATTTTTGATATTTTTTTTTTATTGTAATCTGTGTTATTAACGGAATGTTTAATATCATGACTTGATGCTAACAGTTTTTTTTTTTTTTTTTCTTCTTCAATATATTTTTTTTTATTTTGAACATTAGATAATTGAAAATTATCTTCATAGTCATTGTTATTATAATTATTTTTCATATTATTATTTTTTTCTTTCTTAAAGTATGATTTGTCAAGAGTAATGTTAGAATCTTCAAAGTTTAACCCTAAGTTATTATCCCTTTGATTTTTCTTGATTTTTTCATTTATAATATCTTTTTCTTCTCTATGTTTCCAGCTATTTTTAAGATTAAATATTATATCATCATAAGAATCATTTGCCTTGTTATCATACACATTAGATTTACTGATATTTATATCATAAGTGTTATTTTTATTATTATTGTAACTTTTTAATTTAGTGTATTTCATTAAATTTTTTTTTTCTATGTCTTTGTTATTTGTGCTACTTAAATTAAACATTTTTTTAATTTTTAAACTACTGAATAAAGAAATATCATTGTTATCTAGATAAGAAGAGTTTTCACTAGAATAATTATTTATATTTAATTTGTCATTTTTCTTTTTTTCTATGTTATTTAAAGATGATAAACTTAATTCTTTTAGTAAAGTTATCGAATGATCATTATCTGCATCATTTTGATTTAATAAACAGTTCTTAGACTTTTTATTAAAAGATAAGAAATCAATATTTATACTTTTGCTATTAGAAGATACATCTGTTTCATTTAATTCTTCACTTATTTTTTCGGCGCTATATAAATCATTTTTAGGCATATTATTTTTTCTTAATTTAGAATTTTTATTATTTTCTTCTTTTTTATCACTTTTTATACTTTTTGATTTAATTTTTTCCTCACTTTTTACATTAATTTCTCTCTTATTTACATGTAAGGTTTCATTCACATATGTCTCTTCAATTTTGTTGTTGGCATCACTTTTTAAATCAAATAAATTATCTATTTCATTATTTTTTTCTTTCATTTTTTTAATCTTTTCTTCTTGATTTACATTATTATTTAGTTTATTTTTATAATTTTTTTTTTTTGTATTGATAAAAATAGTAAAATCATCATTGTAATCATATATATTTTCTTCTTCTTTTGTAGTATTATTACAAGAATTGCTTTTATATAACTCTTTGTTATCTGTTTTATAATTTATACCTTCCTCTTTATTTTGAACGTTTTCCTTTTCAACTTCATTAATATTATTATCATTAATATTTTTTGGATATATTATTCCTATATTATTATCATTTACTATATCATTTTGATTTTTCAAAATATTTTTCGTAAATTTATTTGCATTATTTTTTTCCTGATCATTCAATTCTTTCAATTCATTTTTTAATTTTTCTATAATTATTATGTTATCGTTATTATTTATAGTTAATTCATCTATTTCTTTTTTTAAATTTTCAATCATTTTCTCATAGGAATTGTATTTCTTTTGAGCATTTAAATGAAATTCATCATATGCAATTGCATTTTGTTCAAGTTTTTTCTCTTTTTCTTGCAATAATTCTAATGTTATAGTTTTTTCATTTAAATTTTCTCTTAATGTTTTTATTTCATTTTTTAAAATAATTTGCTCTTCTTCTTTTTTTAAATGCATCATATTTATTTCACTTATATTATTCTGAACAAATTTTACATTGTTTTCATATTCATTTAACTGTTTTTTTAAATCATAAATAATATTTTTACTTTGTATTAGTTCATTCTCATATTGTGTTTTATCAATAGCTACTTTTGTTAGTGCATCTAATGAATCATCTCTTTGTGACTTCAAATTCGATATTTCTACAGATAATGTTTGAATATACGTTTCTAAATTTTTAATTTTATCAACTGATTTTTTTAATTCTGTTTGGATTTTTATTGCAGCTTCTTCAATTATCGTTTTTTCTTGTAAAACAATTTTATAATCTTCTTCAATTTTTTTTAGATGACTATTAGTTATATTCAATATTTCAATTTCTTGTTGCAACTGTTGAATAATAAGAGTAGTATTTGCGTTGTAAGACGAATTAGTAATTTGCAAATTTTTATTTTCTTTTAATAATTCATTATATTTTATTGTTAAATCACCACATTCTTTATTTAAATTTTCCAATTTGCATTTAAAATTTTCAATTGTCTCATCTTTTTTATCTAAAACAGATGCAAATTCATCCATTTGATTATTAGAATCTATTAAATCATTTTTTAATTTTTTTATTTCTTTTTTATATGCTTCAATTTTTTGCTTTTGTAATATATTACTATCTTTTAATTCATCAATTTTATCATTAGATTCACTTAATTTATTTAATAAATTATGTATATAGTCCGTTAAATGTTTTTTAGTTTCATTTGAGCATGAGATGATATTATTAAATTCAGCTGATTCTAATTTTAAACTATTAATTGTATCTCTATTCAAGTTGAATTCACTTTCTTTTGCATGAATTTCTTTTTCTAAATTTTTTAATTCATCTTTTAATATCGCTATTTCACTCTTTTCTTCATTATATTGTTTTTCATATTTTTCACTTCTACTTTTTTCTTCCTTTAATTCAATTTTTAATTTCTCTAATAAATTATTTAATTCATTTATTTCATCCTTCTTTATTTTTATTTCCTTTTTTAAATAATTTAATTCAAGAGATTCTTCATCATTTTCACTATTTTCTGACTTGTATAAATTATTCTTTTTTTTATTATTATCATTGTCATCTATTAAATTTAATTTTTCTTTTAATTTTTTTTCTTCATCATTTTTATTTTGCAATTCTGTTTCTAATAACAAAACACGGTTTTTTAGATGATAAATTTCATTATTTCTCACTTTTAATATTTTATTTAAATTATTTATATCATTAACAGAATCTTCATTTTTTGTTAAAACATCAACACTCATATTATCTGCTATGTCGAAGTTGTTACTTTTTTGTTCATTATAATTTTCATTTAGTGTACTTTCACATATATAACTATCCATTGAATTTTTTAATTCTTCTTTTATGCCATTCATCATTCTTAGTTCATTAAGTTTTCTAATTTCTATTTCATATTCGTTTAACCTTTTTTTTAAATAATTAATCTCAAAATTTTTTTCTTCAATTGTATTTTCATTTATTACTTTGTCCTTATTAATTTCATTATCCTTTTTTTCATTATCATTTGTTTTCTCTTTAGTATTATTATCATAAGCATTTTTTTTCAATTTTTCAATTTCTATTTTAAAATCTTTACATAGTTTTTTATAATATGTTAATTCCTTCCCTAATGATAATGTATAATCATTTATAATACTTGTTTCCTTATTATATTTAGTCCTTTCATTTTTTTTTTTTTTTTCAATTTCAAGATCATCAAATGATTTCATTCTACTATTCAAACACGAAAAATTATCATTTGATAATTCATCAATAGATTCTTCTAATTTTTCTTTTTTATCACTTTGTATTATATCAATGGTAAACTTTAATTTTTTATTTTCTAATATGTATGATTCTTTTAAAGAAGTTTCTTCTTTTAACTTTTTATTAAGGTCTTTTATTTTTTGTTCTTGTTCTTTAATCATTGAATTTGTATTATTTTTTTCTTCGATTAAAGATAAATCATTTTCAATTTTATTTTTTCTTGTATTTTGTTCTATTTCTGTATTTTGTGTTTTCTTCTCATTTTTTAATTCTTTATATTTTTTTTGACATTCTTCATATTTATTTGATAGTTTTTGAAAATTTTGAATTGCTTGAATTAAATCATTAAAAATAATCTGAACTAATGGAGTACATAATAAACATAAATGTTCTTTATAATTTAAATTATTTAATTTTTTTCTTAACTTCTTAAAATTCATATTATCCACATTATTTATAACTTCATTTCTTAATACTTTTTCATTAAATGCGTTTTTTACAATATCACCATTTTTCCCTTCTTCATTTTTATTTTCTTTAATAGTATTTTCATTATTTTTATCTTTGTTAGAATTTATATCATTTAGATTTTCTTTATTATCATTATTTTTTTCATTAGTTCTATTAGGAGGTATATTTTCTACTATTTTTTTAGTTATCTTAATTTCATTTTTTTTATCTTCTTTTTTTATATCATTACATAAATTATCATTTTTTACTTCCATATCTTAAGTATTTCAAGTTTTAAAAAGATAAATTCATCATATATTTTTATTCAGAATTTTTTTTTTTTTTTATATATATATATTATACTTTTAAAAAAAATTGTATTTTATAAAAAAAAATTAAAAATATATAAAATAGGATATAAAAGTAAAAAAAAAAAAAAATTTTAATTTATGATATTAATAATTAAGAATATAACTTCAAAAAAAAAAAATTCCAAAAAATATGATAAAAAAAAATTCTTTTTTTATTTATATGAAAATTTAAGTAAAAGGATATCAAATAATTATATGAACACAAAGTTCATATTATAATATTCATTTGTAAAAAAAAATATTCTGAAAAGAAAAAAAAAAAGAATAACTATAAATGTATTAAAATTAAAAAATTAATTAGTCTAAATAAATATAGAAAAATAATAAGAATAGATATATGCACAAGTAAATTTAATTATTTCAAAAACAGTTTATTTTGGAAATTATTTATTACACAAAAAATATATATATATATATATATATATATATATATATATATATAATTATGCAAATAATATATATTAATTTAAAATAAAATTCTACTCGATGAAAATTGAATTAATAAAACATAGTATATCTTAAAAATTTATTCCTATATTTATTTTTTTTATTCCTTTTTCTTTTTTAATTCTTTTGAGTTTCTATGTGCTAATTTCCAGAGCTTATAATTATTTTGATATTATCTTTTAAAAATTATTTTTATATATAAAAATATTAAATAAAAATAATGTTATTTAAATGAATTTATAATATGAAATATGCTAAATATATATATATAAAAACTCTTTCCTTTTTTCTTAATATTAGAAATTTCAATATTTTTTATTAAAAATATAGTAGCACGTCCATTTTTTTTAAATTAAAAAAGTGATACTAAATGCTAAAGAAAATTTCATAAATGAGAAGAGGGTTTCATATAGAAATTTAGAATTTTTTTTTTTATTTTAGACTTTTGTTTATTTATATGAAATATTTTTATGTTTTTTTATTTCATAAATCAACCTCACTAAATATTTGTTTTGTTTTCTTTTATTCAATATATCTAAACTTAAAATAATATTCATAAGTTTCTTTAATAATTATTAATCTTGAAATATTTTAAACAGTTTTTGAAATTCAAAAAATATGAAAACAAAGACAAATGTTACTTCAAAAAATTTTATGAAAAATACTTTGTGAGAAAATTTTCATTATAATTAACAATAAATTTCAAGTCTGTATAAATTTCTTTTAATACCATTAAAATAAAAAAAAAAAAAAAAATTTATACATTAATAATAGTAAAATGAGGATTTCGTATTAATTAAAAATATTTCAATTAAGAAATAATTATTAGTTTAAATATAAACATATTTCGAATCTGTATGTATTAAATAATTTTGACATTAATCCATTGTATTTTCTACTAATAAAAAAACAATAAATTGTAGTATATTTGATATTTTTTCAATAATAAATTTATGTAAAACATATATATATAATTATATATAATTTTTTTTTTAATCTTATATATATTCATATATATTATTTATTATTATTTTGGTTATTTAAACTTATTACAACATTAATTTTAAAAATTATACATATATATATATATATATAATATATATAAATTTTCTAATATTAAATGAAGAGGCTTATTTTTAATTAATGTTGTTTTATTTTTTATTTTATTTTTTTTTTTTTTTTCTATTTTTTAAGTAAGTAAATATGATAAATCGGTACTATATATCTCAAAAAAATAACCTATATATTTCATTAAATTATAAATACATATTAACAAATAAAAGGTATATATTTGATTATTAAATTACAATAATATAAATTAGTAAATATAACTTCAAATGTTTATCCTATATATTTACAAAATGAAAAAATAAATAATATTATTTTTAAAAAAAAAATTATAAGGCAACAAAAAGTAAAATAAAAATATTTTTAATTTTAAATCCTTGATTTGTTATGAAAAAGAAAGAATTAAATGAGTCTTGTATTTTTTTTAAATTCTTTAAAATATAAAATATTACAAAATTTCAAAAATGAAAAAATATATTTTTGTAGTTCTGTTAAAAAAAAATTTGGTGAATTATATCAACCAAGAACAAGATATGAAAAAAAAAGTCATTTAGAAGTAATTGACGAAGTGTACTTTGATATGGTTGATGCAATGAGAGAGAAAAATAAATTAGAGATGGAAGAACATAATAATGTTGATAAAAATATATCTGAAATTATTTTAAATCACAGTATTTCAAAAAAAAATGAAATTATAAAAAGTTTGATGAGATACTGTATTGAAGTGAAAAACAAAAAAAAAGAAATAGGAGATAAAAATGAATCTATAAATATAAAAGATTTTAATAATAAAAACAATCACATGGAAGATATTTTGAATATAATAAAAAGTAATATAAGAGATTATAGTAGCCATTTTAATACTTGTGAAATAGGCATAATTTTAAAATGTTTTCTTAAAATCAATATAAATGATTTAAATACTATAAATATTTTGTTACATCATTATTTTAAAAGAAATATGAAATTTTCTCAGTATGGTTCTTTATATGTATTAAATTCTTTTTCTAAATTAAATTTACTACCAAATCATATGAATAATTTAAAATTATTGTGCTCTGATATATTAAAAAAATTAGGAAATTATGAATTTAAAAATATATGTTTAATTTGCAATTATTCTTCTGGATTATATAATTTTAATAGAAAATTTATTAGTAGTTTTATTGAGGAAATTTGTAATTTTGTAGTAAAACAAAATTACAATGATGATCTATGGTCTACAGATTCTATTCATTATATTGCAAATTCTTGTGCTAGAGTAAATTATTTAAACAAAGAATTATTTCATTTTTTAAAAAAAAAAATTGAGAAAAAAATTTTTTTTTTTTCGCTAGATCAACTAGTATCTTTAACCAATGCATACAGTAAGTTTAAAAATGCAGAAGAATCCAACTTTTTGTCTTTATATTTAATAATAGCAGATCAAATAATAAAGAAATCATATTTATTAAAACCAAGACATTTAAGTGTGCTAGCTAATTCTTTTAATAATGCTTGTATTCTTCATGAGCATTTATTTCATATTATTACTGAAAATAGTTTAGTTAATATAAATTTATTTGAACCAAAGCAAATAGTTATGTTAATACATTCTTATGTTAACATTGGTTTATTAAATAATAATTTATTAGATTCTATGTGGGACAGGTCTTTTTTATTTATAAAAGATTATAGTATTCAAGAATTATCTATGTTATTACAGTCATATACTAAAAGTTGTTATCATAAAGAAAATTTTGTGAATAAAATAAATGAAAGAATATATTTATTTTTTTCATTAAATTATCCTTTTGTAACGCAAAACATGGAGACATATACATATGAAAAGTATATAAATGCAATAAATTCCTTAAAAAGTAATGAAAATTATAAATCAAATAATATTTCCTTAAAAGAATGTTCTATTATTTTTTATTTAATATACAATCTGCAAAATCACCTTAATCATATTAATGAGAAATTAGGGAATCAAGAAAAAATAAACGATAACATTTATAAAAATGACTCAGAGATTTTTATTAAAAAAAGTGAATTAGAAAAATATACTTCTGAAGTACAAGATCATAAAAATTGCCTAAATGATATTTTAATTTCTCATTCAGTAGATGAAGAAAAAAAAAAAGATACAAACAATAGTATCATGAATGATATAACTTCAAATAAAAATATTAGTGTTAATTTTTCTACAAATAATTGTTATAATTACAGCAAAAATAAAAATAATTATTTAGAAAATACACATAGTTTATTATATATTAATTATTTAGAGAGTTGTTTGATAAACTATTTAAGTAGAGATATAAATTCGACACTATTATGTTCTATTATATATTCTTTAATTAAAGGAAATTGTTATTTACAATATGATTTATTAATATGTTTATCAAAACTAGCCTTAATTTTTATGAAAAAGTTTAAATTTTCAGAGCTAGCTAATATATGCTCTGCTTTATCAGAAGCTTATATTTATGCATCTGATGAGAATAACAGGCAAAACGAAATCATATCAACAAATCAAAAAGAAGAAATAACCGATATTTATAATTCATTTGAAGAAACAAAAGAAAAAATAAGTTCCAATCAAAAAATAAAATATGATGAAAAATTATATAATTCTTCCAAGGAATATTTAATTATGTGTATATTATTTTTTGATCATGTTGAATATTATTTGAAAATGAAAAAAAATTTATTTACTGATGTTTATAGTATTTATAAATTTATAACTTCTTTTGGTGCATTAAGAATAAACAAATATTCTTCAGTTGCATTACATTTATTTAAATTATTCCTTATGGAAATCAAAAATTTATCTTATTTGCCCCTTCAAAAAATAGTAATAATTACATATATAAAACTATTATATATTTATATTATATCTCTTTTTTTTTTTTTTTTTTTTTTTGCAAAATTATTAAATTTTCTTATATTTTTTCAGGCAAATTCTTTTATACAAATGAATGTTTACGATGAAGATGTCTATGCATTTATAAATAAAATACAGAAAATGAAAAAAAAATAAATATTCTTTTCTTTTTCTTGTTATTTCATAAAAAAAAAATTTATTCAAGAAATTCATAATTATCTTGATTTATTAAATAATTATAAGCATAATTCTTAACTAGCAAAATTTACCTATAATTTTATTTTTTTATTTTTTTTAAATTTTCAATTTAAACAATAATTTTTAATATTAATTATAAAAATTTTTTGTTTTTAAAAGATATTATCTTAAAAAAATTTTCAAATAATATTAAGTAGATAGTTTACTTTTAAAAAAATTCATTACTTTTAATGTTATTTTCTTTTTTCTATAGGGATTATTTAGATTTTTTTTCTGATTTTCATAATAATTTGCTATTTAAAGAAGATAAAAATATATGTTAATAGCATAATTGTGGGTTATTTCATATGTTTTTCTGTTAGATATTATTTCTCCTATTTTTGATATCTTTGTGATACACATTTAACTAAAATTTTAAAATATAAAACAAAAATTTTGCGAAGATGATGTAATACTACTTAATAATTAAAAAAAAGAAAACGTTATCTTTTAGTGGTTTAAAATTTGAGTGCATTTAAATAAATCTTTTTTTCTAATTTTAAGATTACAAAATTTTACAATTTTAAGTTAATTTTTTTCTTTTTTTTTTTAAATTTAATTACTTTTTTCCACATTTAATTTTATTTATACTATTATTTGTATCTTTAATTTTTATTATTGTTATTATCTATATATAATTATTACTATTTTTGTGTATAATTATTTTTATTTTTATATATAAATATTAATAAAAACATTGAAATTTTATCATTATCTATATATAGGAAATTCTTTAACAACATTAATAGGAATATTTTTAAAAATTATTAATAACTAGATAAATTTTCTTAATATAAATATATATAAAACTTTTTTTTCTTTAATAAAAATGTTTTTAATTTATATCCTCCTCATTTATTTTTTTTTAAAATTTTTATTTTGTAATAATATTTTTACTAGGAAAATATTAATATGTAAATAATTTTTTTATTATAATTTCAGAAAGTAAATTATATTTTTTATTTTTTATATATATATATATATATTTGTAATTTTTTTTTTTTTTTAAAATTAATCAGTCCATATATATATTATTTTTAATTAATAATTTTTATTTAATCCTTTTTATATATTTTTTATTAATATAATTGATTAACGACGGCGGGACTCGAACCCGCAATCTTCGGTTTCGAAGACCGACGCCTTATCCATTGGGCTACGCCGTCATAACAGATAATTTGAGGAAAATAATTTATTAATAATTTTTATATTTATATTTTCTTCTTATTAAGATAATTAAAAAAAAAAAAAAAAAAGAAAAAATTCTTATTAAATTATATTAATTTGATTTATATATATACAATATAATAAAAGTAAAATTTACTATTTTATTATAAATTTAAGAAAATTTATTTTAACTTTTTATTATTAAAATGTAGTTTATATAAACTATAAGAAGAATATAATTAGGTTAAAAATAGTAAAATATAATATAAAAAAAGAAAAATTTTTGAATGTAAAATTTTTTATAAATATTTTTGTTTTGTATAAATAATAAATTTCATGCAAATGGTAAATATAACATAAAAAGGTAAAAAACTTATTACATATATTATTATAATCTTAAAAAAAAAAAAAATTTAATTTTCTATTTTAAAATTCCATAATCCATCATTTAAGTAGTGTATATTTTCTATACATATATCTTTATTTTTTTCAACTCTAAAAAATAAAAAAAAAAAAATGTGTGGATATAATAGTAAATTTGTAAGAATAAAATATGAAAAACTATTACATTTCTTTAGTTGACATAGTTGTTATTCCAACAGCACAAGCATACTCCTTATTTTCCGCTGTAATTTGCTAAAATATAATAAAAAAAATATGTATAAATATATATATATATAGATATATATATATAATTTAAGAAAAAGAAAAATATTACAATAACTTTATTAGCCTCCACTTCTTCTTCTAATTTTCCTCCTGGAGATGTAACTCCTGGACACATTATGTTTGATCCTCTTAAAACATGTTTAACTGCCCCTTTATCAACTTGGATTTTTGGCATCATAAATGGATCTACAAAGAAAAAAAAAAATTTTACTTTTAAAATAAAATTTTAATTTTTTTTTTTTTTTTTTTTAGTATATAAAAAATTGCTATTCTTTTTAACATAGCTATATATTATTTAATAAAAATTTATTATTCTTCTATTACATTTATGTACTAATTTTAAACTAGGAATCCAAGGACCATTTCTAATTTGGAAAAAAAGAAGTTCTTGATTTCCAATGATTACTGTTACATGATTTATACTAATAAAAAAAATTTCATATAAGAATATATAAATACTATTAAATTTACCGTTTTTTTATATGAATAGAAAAAAAAAAAAAAAATAATCTGTATGTACATTTTATTCTATCTTTAATTTTTTTTAACCATTTTCCAAGAAACAAAGAACCTTTTTTTGGAAAAATATTTTCAATATAATCTTCTAATTTCGGGTAATCTTTTAATATCTTTTAAAAAAGAAAATATTTTATATAATTTGATTTTTTTTTTTTTTTTATTGTTCTTTAAAAAAATAAAACATAAAACGAAAAAAAAAAAAAAAATACCGTGGCTTTAATGCTTCTTTGTACTGAAGATTTCATCAAATTCTGAGATGAAATATTATCTATAGAAAAACTTTTCATGATTCATAATTTTCTTGTAATATTTTTATTTACAAAAAGAAAAAGTTTATATAATACACTTTGAATATATTTAAGTTCTTAGAAATATTTTAAAAATTTTCTTTTTAAAAATCTATATTTTTATACAAACATTTTAAAATGTTCAAAAAAAAAAAAAAAAAAAAAAATGTTTTAATTTTAATGTAAAAATATATGTTATGTACTTTATAAATATGTTAAATGTATTTTTTAGGAATGGATGTTTTGAAATACTTTTATAATTTTTAGAAAGAAAAAAAAAATTTTAAATTCAACATATATTAAGTATAATTGAATTTAAAAATATCATTTCAGGTTTTTAAAAATAATATAAAATAAAATAGAAATGAAATAATAAATTAAAAGTAAGATTAATCCAATGTTGTAAATGTAAAATGTGTTAAAAATAAAGTAAAATTTTAAAGAATAATAAAAATATTGTAAAATAAATAAGGACTTAAATATTTTTCTAAGGAGAGAATGTAATGGTATAACAAATTCTTTATAACTTTAATATTGAGTTTTTTTTTAGAAAAAAAGTGTTTATATTTAGTTCATTTTTTTTTTTTTTTTTTTTTTTAAAAATACTTTATGTATTTATTACTCTTTTTATAAATATAAAGATATGATTTAATACCAAAAAAAAAAAAAAAAAAAAAAAAAAAAAAGGAAAAAAAAATATAAAATATATATAATGTGACACGATGAAATTACGAAAAATTGCAAATTAAAAATTATGGAAAAAAAAAAAGAAATATAAATGCAGAAATGTGCAAAATTTTAAAAATATACAGGATAAAAAGTACAAAAAATACAAGCATACAAAAGTATAT